CATTGTAGGGTTACGGTAGATGTACTGTAAGACGGTGAAAGATACGGATCCACCTAAAAATTAGTCCATAAGATTATTTGAAATGCTGATCTTGAATTACATATCCATTTTGTACGATAATTTCTACTTTCATCTTATATTTATAAGAATGCAAGTATTTTTGCACTCATTTTTTTTGTTCTTATCAGCAAACGGTGAATTAGCCAGTTTTACTAACATTTTTGTTTATCAATGCAGCGCTATTGAATTTTTTTCTCACACTTCTGTAGAAGCAGCCACTCAATAAGGTTGACACTTTGGCTCTATGACGATTGTGTTTGACAACGTATCATTTGCTGAGATTAATTGTCAGATGCTGATTAATCCATACCTAGGGAAGGAAACATTTGACGATTACGCTGCATGTAATCCGGAACCAAAGTTCCAACTTTTTGGCTTTTTTTTGTCTAAATTAACGACAAGGATAACCTGAGAAAAAACGACTATAGGTTATGATAAATTATCAAGACTTCTGCACTGTTCGGCGCGTTCAACAATGTTTTTCGCACTTCACGGCTTCAATTTCACATTTCACAGCAGCACGAAAAAGCCCAACTACTGCATCTTTACCCACAACTTGGTTGCACCAGTCATTGGCCGGACTTCAAATAACAGACCTCAAAAACGGCATTTTGTTAGCTGTTCAAGAACACCGTCTCTTTTGACCTTATGGCGGTTGAAAATCGCACTTGCTTCAGTGAAAATAATAACATCAATTGTTTAGATCATCAAATAAATTGTGTGAGGCATATGTAATCCATCAGAAACATAGCACCGTTTCACGTATCTCTTAAGGGAAAAGGAAGAAAAAAATGAAGTAAAAATGGATACGATTTGCCTTCCAATTTAAACTTGTTTTAATCATAAAAGGATCGCCCATAATACAAGACGAAACTCATATACATGTTTCAAGTTTGGCTTAGGAATTGTTGCGTGAAAAACAATGACAAAAAGTCCAGCTTAAGCTCGCGTTTTTTTGTTTGAAAATAATACCTTGTCATCGGTTTGACATTCGTTTTCTGACCAGTTTAAGATTACAGCAGAGATTATAGTGCAAAATGGATATGTAATTCGAGATTAGCATTTCAAATAACT